ATGCCTACTCTACAAGTGTTTAAGTTTTTGATGTGGAACTCGTATATTCTTCAATACTTCTCTTTACGTGAGACCACTTTTTAGTAGACCACACATGCAACCAATTCTACATTGGTCACCTTTTTATAAAAAAAAAATTATTTCCATTTGGGGAGAGGATTTGATTTTGGTTCAATTTGGAGGTTTTTTGTTTGATTTGGGTTGAATCAGGCCCCATCAACAGACTCGCTCTGATACCATGTTAGAATTTCATAGGAACGGACCCTTGGCCCACCACTAATCTGTGATGTGGGTCTGTATTATCTGTAATTTTTATTGTTTCAATTTGGTGTTACTACCACATGTTAGGTGTGGATTTTGTTATACTGCTGGCTTTATGCCTGTTTAATTTTCTTTCGGACGGGATCATGATCTTCATAAAAAGGGCAATGGAGACTGGATCTGTCCCTTGTGAAGCAGAGGTCGCTTCTTTGGAATGGTTGTTGAGAAAATTATTGATGGTTGTGGTTATGATTATACTGTTAGCTGGACATATAATAATGAATAATAATAAATATCTTCAGTAAATTAAAGGGTATATATGTCCAGATTCAGAAGGAGATAAAATTATCATGTCACATGCATGCAATATTAATTATGCCCAAACAAATATAATGTCTCATCATGCGATATTAATATGATTAGATTGTTGTAGTGTGATTTAGAAGAAAATATGCATTTGATGCATCCACGCAAATATAATGTCTCTCAAGAACCCTAAATTTATGAAATGGGAGTGACAATCAGATTTGTATGGTTCCTAATTGCTTTTCTGAAAAGTGATTGTCGCACGCAGGTGTTGGCTCCTGCTCGGTGCCATTTGCCAAAGCTGGAAATCAAACAACACAATCTGAGTCTCATACTTTTGGCCAACTGCTTTACTTCAACTGGAAGCTTCCCTTTTAGGCTTGTAGCTTTTCAAGTGGGCAAGTACAAAAGGCAATTCCAGTTTCGACACGACACTTCTAGGATTTTACTGCCAAAAGACTAGTAATGGTTAAGCTGTTTGGGATTTCAATTAAGGGTACAGAAAATGCTCTATTTCAAGCTTGGATACACACAATCCAATGTACTTTAATTTTACATTGCTTATATTATTATTCGGGTTAAATTTTTGCTTTTTGAAATGCTTTGCAACTAATTGATTGATTGTTTTAACTTTGATTTTCCTTTTCCAGTTAGTTTCGAGTTCTGGGCTTGCATGTATTTATTGTTAAGATTTCAAAGGGACGGATTCTTAGCTCATTACTAGCAACATCGATATTATCCCAAACTTAACCACTTATTTAGTGGGTGTGGGGTTTTATACAAAATGCCTACTCTACAAGTGTTTAAGTTTTCGATGTGGAACTCGTATATTCTTCAACACTTCTCTTTACGTGAGACCACTTTTTAGTAGACCACACATGCAACCAATTCTACATTGGTCACCTTTTTATAAAAAAAAAATTATTTCCATTTGGGGAGAGGATTTGATTTTGGTTCAATTTGGAGGTTTTTTGTTTGATTTGGGTTGAATCAGGCCCCATCAACAGACTCGCTCTGATACCATGTTAGAATTTCATAGGAACGGACCCTTGGCCCACCACTAACAACATTGATATTGTCCCCAAATTAACCACTTGCTTAGCAGGTGTGGGGTTTTATACAAAGGCTCAATATTATTAAGAGTGGAACCATTTATTATATGAGACTTTCTATTTTATTAAGTTTCCAATGTATGACTCGTGTATTATTCAACATTTATAACCCCAATCTTGACTCTCCCAAACCCAAGGCCCAGGGTCAGCTCAACTTAGTCCGTCCAGGCCCAGCCCAGTTTATACTGGTAATTGGGTTGGTCCAGCCCAAGCCTATGATCACATAGCTAAGAAAGTTTGTATCAGCTTCTAATGCATGCCCTCACCATGATGAGTTTGCTGAAAAAATTGATTATTTGATATTTGTTATGGACCAATGCAAATATGTATAAGATCGATAACCTTCCGAATAACATTACATTTATCACATTTCTTGATCACATTGTATCGTAGATTTGGGTTTCACCTTTGTTATATAGATGTAACGAATCTATCTACGAGTGATGTAACTTTAAGCCCGTTGCCTTCATTGCACACGCCTAACAAGGAGTTTGATTCCATGTTGAGGCAGCAGCAATATTTTGTAAACAGGGCAATGTTGATAATTTGGAGAAAGGGAAAATGAGAACCTGGACAGAATGAGGGAGAGCACTATCTTCAGCTGCAGCATGGCAAATGTCTGGCCTATGCACAATCGGCTCCCATAACCAAATGGCATGTATGCTTGGGGATACTTGCATGATTCAGATACCCCATTTTCAAACCTCTCTGGCTTAAACTCATCAGCATCTGAACCCCAATTTTCGGGGTCGCGGTGCAGTGCTGGAATGAATGTCCATATGTGGATGCCTTCTGGCACATCTAAGTCCCCCAACTTCATGTTTGTAAGAGCTTCCCTTGCAATTATGACTCCCGGTCCATAAAGCCGCAGGCTCTCTTGAATCACCATTGTCAGCTGCATGTACATATAGATAAGCAACAATTTTGAAGATTTATCAAACACTTGACAATAAATATTACCGTTTTCAATTTGCGTAAGGTGTCCATGTCTTGCAGGCAATGATGCAGTTGATCATCATCCCCACAGACCTCAAAAATCTCAGCACGAACACGATCTTGCCATTCGGGTTGTAATGCCAATAGCATCAAGGTCCAGGATGCAGCAAGAGCAGTGGTCTCAGATCCTGCAAAGTAGATAGTTCTGCAATTGTCCAGAATAAATTGGTCTGTTTTGTGGCTAGGCATTTTTGTGCTAGAAGCAGCACTTTCAAGTATCATTTGTAATAAGTCCTTTTCTGATGTGCCACACAATTGGCTTTCAGCCTGACGATCCCTCACTAATTTGAGCAACAAAGCGTCCACCTCTTTCTTTAAACTCCTTACCTTCTTGTCATTTTCTGTGGGAAGGAATCTGCAGGATTTGAACACATGGTAAAAAAACAATAATAAAAAAGATATAAAAAAACATGTGCTAAAGTTACTGACAGAAGAACAAACAAACCTAAAATTGAGAAAGCCAAAGAGCAAACTTGGATGGGACAAGGTGTCCTGGAGGGCAGCAATCTTTGCAAAAATCTGGTTGCCTTGGGAGTAAGAGCTGCCAAAACAAGCTCTTGATATGATATCAGCAGAGAGGCTTTTCAAATCCTCATCAATTGTTATGTCCACAATGCCCTCCTCACTTTCTAGTATACGGCTCTCCCATGTCTTAATTATTGCCTTTGTAGATTCCTCCATCAGACCCACCATGCCCTACAATTCTTCACCATTTCAATCACCACATGCTTGATTTTAAAATTTTAAAATAAAAGAAAAAGACTTTAGAAAATATAGATAAAAGGGATTCTCTAATGTACCTTAACCTTGTCGAGGAAGAATTCAGGAGCAATGAGTTTCTTCTGGTATGCCCATTCTTCTCCGTTGGCCCGGATAACGCTGTCACCTAGCAATGGCTGCATTGGCTTACTCAGATATGTAGGTCTGCCCAAATCCAAGGAGTTGTGCAGTTTCAGCTCCCTTAACAACTTGGGATCGCTCACATACAAGTGTTGCTTGCTCCCTGTTGAGTACATGTATACTTGACCTGCATAAATACTTTCATCAAACACTTGTAACTTTTCTCTGTCATTTGGATCCCAAATTCCCATATTCTAAATTATACACCAGCGAGTAACGCTAGCATATTTCTTAACTGAACACATTATGTCGCAGTTGACGTGTCTATCAAGAGTTGGATGTTACAAAGCCACATTTTACATAATATGTGACCAAGAGTAAATATTTCTCCTCAAACTATGCAAATTTAATAAACTTCATACCATACTGCTGCTCCCATTGCTGAAGATAAGGAAAGAATGAGGGAACCCAGTTGTGCTCCACGCGTTTAACACCAGATGGTTTCTGATTGATGTTGATATTGCTGGATTGAATGTCCTTCATCTCTGAAACATTACCAAAAATGAAGGAAGGTGCTGGCCCTCTGATGCCTTGCCTCCAAAGCACTGATCGAATCCTTGCATGCTTCAGCCACATCTCCTTAACCAATCGCATTAAGACACTGATTATACCAATCAACACAAGTGACCAGGATATCATTGCCACCTGAAAACCCTCCTCTGCCATATCTCTCTGTTTATGAGAAGAGAAGATGGTTGTGTTTCAAGTTTCAACTTTACTGTGCCATTAATATGCTTTTCCACGGTCCGCACTGTGCCATTAATATGCTTTTCCACAGTCTGCACTGTGCCATTAATATGCCTTTTTTGTTGTTGAAAAAGAACAAAACTACAACATCAACAGTCTGCACCTATCTTGTACTGGTCACTGATTTTTCATTTTTAATTGCGGTTGATTAAATCAATGAGACATGACGAATATCTTTTTGTTTGGTATAAGGAAGGCCAATGGGGAGGGGAGAACAAAACTACAATATCAACAGTCTGCACCTATCTTGTACTGGTCACTGATTTTTCATTTTTAATTGCGGTTGATTAAATCAATGTTACATGACGAACATCTTTTTGTTTGGTATAAGGAAGGCCAATGGGGAGGGGACATATTCAAACTCCACGTAGAATCTTTGTTTTTTTTTTCTTGCCTGAGTGAGAATATATTCGTTCTCAAAGACAAACAATGAGACACTCGGATGGAATCTAGCCTGGTTTTTCCAAGAAAATAAGTAGATATAAAGTTATTAACATGTAGCCGTTGGCTGATTCGTTGATTTCTGAGTTGCTGTTGCAATGTTGAAGTCAATTATGTTGCCTTCCATACAATAATACTATTTGGCCGGCGTGAGTAAATCAAGCATCTAGAATTGAAATTCAATATAACATGTGGTTCAATGAAAATGAAGTTTTATATATTGGGCACAGTGGTGGTGGATTCCCCCTTCTCCATGGCACCCAGGATCGAATCTAGTGGGTTTCTTTTCTCCAATGTAACTACAAAAAACAAAAAAAAACAAAGTTTTATATAATGGCATTTGCAGTCTGAAATATTAAAATATATGACAGATAATTCTGTGATTAACATTATATTTAGCACATTGTACGGTAGTGGTTTTACAAATAGGGTCTGTCTATTTACAAACAGTTTTATTGTACCCTTAAACCAGCTCTAGCTGCCTTCAAATCACTGCACACGCCTAACAAGGAGTCTGATTCCATGTTCCGGCAACAACAGCATTTTATAAACAGGGGAGTGTTGATAATTTGGAGAAAGGGAAAATGAGAACTTGGACAGAATGAGAGGAAGCACTATCTTGAGCTGCACCATGCCAAAAGTCTGCCCTATACACGATCGGCTCCCATGACCAAATGGCACGTATGCTTGTGGATACTTGCATGCCTCAGACACCCCATTTGCAAACCTCTCTGGCTTGAACTCATTAGCATCCGGACCCCAATTTTCGGGATCGCGGTGCACTGTCGGAATGAGCGTCCATATATGGACGCCTTCCGGCACGGTAAAGTCCCCCAACTTCATTTTTGCTAGAGCTTCCCTTGCCAATATGACTCCGGGCCCATACAGCCGCAGGCTCTCTTGAATCACCATTGTCAGCTGCACATACATGCATATATATAAACATTGTGCGCAACCACTTTGAAAATTTACCAAACACTTAATAACAATGTCTTTCAAGTACCGTTTTCAACTTGCTCAGGTTGTCCATGTCTTTCAAGCATTGACGCAGTTGATCATCATCGTCCCCGCAGACCTCAGCAATCTCGACACGAACACGTTCTTGCCATTCTGGGTGCAATGCCAAGAGCATCAGTGTCCAGGATGCTGTGAGAGCTGTGGTCTCAGATCCTGCAAAGTAGATGCTTCTACAATTATCCAGAATAAATTGGTCTGTTTTGAGCATATATTGTTGAGGCCTGTCAGTGCTGTTATTAGCAGCACTTTGGAGTATCATTTGTAATAGGTCCTTTTCTGACGTGCCTCCCGATTGGCTTTCCTTTTGGCGATCTCTCACTAATTTGAGTAACAAAGCATCCACCTCTTTTCTCAAACTCTTAATCTTCTTCTCACTCTCTGTGGGAAATAAGCTGCATATATATATATAGCCGCATGTCAAACTTGACATTTATTTTGATTGGACATGGCGTCCAAAGAGCAAAAACAAAAGCACCCCAAGAGAAAAACAAAACATGAAAACGAACCTAAAATTGAGAAAGCCAAAGAGCAAACTTGGATTGGACAAGGCCTCCTGGAGGATAGCAATCTTTGCAAAAATCTGGTTGCCCTGGGAGTAAGAGCTACCAAAACAAGCTCTTGAGATGATATCAGCAGAGAGGGTCTTCAATTCCTCATCAACTTTTATGTCCACAACACCTCCCTCACTTTCAAGTACACGGCTTTCCCATGTCTTAAGAAAAGTCACAGCAGATGCCTCCATCAGACAAACCATGTTGGTATACAAACACTTGATACCAAACTTCTTTGACTGGGTGATTAGTTTACAAACTATATCACACTCACACACATTCAAAGACAAGAATAAAGAAAGCGTATTTTGAGAATGATTGTTATTCTCTTATAATTCCTTAGCATTTCTCTATCGAAAACAACACACTGACAACTCTCTTTACTTTTGGCTTCAGGTACTTGAGCATATGCAACACATCCAAAGATACGTAGATGTGTAACATTAGGTTTGTAGCCACTCCAAGCCTCTTGAGGTGTCTTGTTCTTGACACTCTTGGTTGGACATCTATTCAGCAAATATACTGAACATTGAACAGCTTCTGCCCAGAATTGCTTCGGCAAACTTTTCTCTTTTAGCATGGACCTCGTCATTTCAAGGATAGTGCGATTTTTTCGTTCGGCTATCCCATTTTGCTGTGGGGTATAGGCAGCCGTCAACTGATGCTTTATCCCCTGTTCTCTGCAAAATTCTTGAAATGCATTTGAAGTGTACTCACCCCCTCGATCAGATCTAAGAGTCACCAATTTACACTTACTTTCTACTTCAGTGCGAGCCTTAAAATTCTTGAATACAGTAAAGGCTGAAGATTTTTCTTTGAGAAAGTAAACCCACACCTTTCTACTGAAATCATCTATGAAAGTAATAAAATACTTATTACCTCCAAATGAAATAGGCTCCAATGGTCCACAAATATCCGTGTGTACCAATTGTAGTGGCTCCTTTGCTCTCCATGCCGTGCCTCTAGGGAAAGAAGTTCTTGATTGCTTTCCTAGTACACACCTTTCACAAACATGGTTCGGTGCCTCAATTAGTGGTAGACCATGCACCATTCCTCCCGTTGACAAAAGCTTTAGGCCATTGAAGTGAAGATGGCCAAATCGGAAATGCCACTTCCATGACTCTTTCTCCATGAGACCAAGGAAGCATTTTTCCTTCTTGGTATTTAGGTTCAACGGGAACATGCGATTCTTCGTCATTGGAACTTTTGCAATTAATCTTCCACTTGCATCTTTGAGGAAGAGAGAATTATTTTCCATGAGAACAACGTACCCCTTTTGGAGTAATTGTCCAATGCTGAGAATATTGCTTTTCATACTTGGAATATAGTAAACATCAGAGATGTATTCTTCTTTGCCATTTTTCTGGAAGATTTTTATTCTTCCCTTTCCTTCAACAGATAGCTTTGAAGAATCTCCAAGGCTCACATCTCCACGAACTTCTTCGTTGAGTTCAACAAAGAACTCTCTTCTTCCACACATATGGTTGCTTGCACCAGAGTCAAGGTACCAAACATCACCTTGACCACCAGCTTCATTGTGTACTAACAAAAGAGTAGGTTCATTACTCTCATTGTTAGTTGCTTCTGAAAAGTTGACTTGGTCCTTCTTTTTCTCTTTTGAACACTCTGAGGCATAATGTCCAAGCTGGTTGCAATTATAACACTTGATCTTCTTTTTCTTTTCCTCACGACTTTCTGCGTTGCCACGCCCTCGTCCTTGGCCTCGACCTCTTCCGTGAGAACCTCCGCATCGTGAAATTGATGCACCACTGCTTCCTCGTGATTTATCAAGATTTAGCTTTGACCTGCCCTATACACGATCGGCTCCCATGACCAAATGGCACGTATGCTTGTGGATACTTGCATGCCTCAGACACCCCATTTGCAAACCTCTCTGGCTTGAACTCATTAGCATCCGGACCCCAATTTTCGGGATCGCGGTGCACTGTCGGAATGAGCGTCCATATATGGACGCCTTCCGGCACGGTAAAGTCCCCCAACTTCATTTTTGCTAGAGCTTCCCTTGCCAATATGACTCCGGGCCCATACAGCCGCAGGCTCTCTTGAATCACCATTGTCAGCTGCACATACATGCATATATATAAACATTGTGCGCAACCACTTTGAAAATTTACCAAACACTTAATAACAATGTCTTTCAAGTACCGTTTTCAACTTGCTCAGGTTGTCCATGTCTTTCAAGCATTGACGCAGTTGATCATCATCGTCCCCGCAGACCTCAGCAATCTCGACACGAACACGTTCTTGCCATTCTGGGTGCAATGCCAAGAGCATCAGTGTCCAGGATGCTGTGAGAGCTGTGGTCTCAGATCCTGCAAAGTAGATGCTTCTACAATTATCCAGAATAAATTGGTCTGTTTTGAGCATATATTGTTGAGGCCTGTCAGTGCTGTTATTAGCAGCACTTTGGAGTATCATTTGTAATAGGTCCTTTTCTGACGTGCCTCCCGATTGGCTTTCCTTTTGGCGATCTCTCACTAATTTGAGTAACAAAGCATCCACCTCTTTTCTCAAACTCTTAATCTTCTTCTCACTCTCTGTGGGAAATAAGCTGCATATATATATATAGCCGCATGTCAAACTTGACATTTATTTTGATTGGACATGGCGTCCAAAGAGCAAAAACAAAAGCACCCAAGAGAAAAACAAAACATGAAAACGAACCTAAAATTGAGAAAGCCAAAGAGCAAACTTGGATTGGACAAGGCCTCCTGGAGGATAGCAATCTTTGCAAAAATCTGGTTGCCCTGGGAGTAAGAGCTACCAAAACAAGCTCTTGAGATGATATCAGCAGAGAGGGTCTTCAATTCCTCATCAACTTTTATGTCCACAACACCTTCCTCACTTTCAAGTACACGGCTTTCCCATGTCTTAAGAAAAGTCACAGCAGATGCCTCCATCAGACAAATCATACCCTATATGTAACACGTGATAAGAGAGATAGACACGTAAGTAATTATATACAATCGGATATGTTATAAGAATTGATTGACTATATATTACCTTAACCTTGTTGAGGAAGAATTCAGGAGCAATGACTTTCTTCTGGTAGGCAAAATCTTGTCCGTTGGCTCGAATAATGCTGTCACCTATCAAGGGCTGGAGTGGCTTGCTCAAATATCTAGGTACACCCAAATCCATGTAGTTTTGCAATTTAAGTTCCTTTAACAGCTTGGGATCGCTCACATACAGGTGCTGTTTGCTCCCTGTTGCGTACACGTACACTGGACCTGCATACACTTTCCTTCATCAAACTTGGTAACTTGGTCCTCAATAAATTTGACCCTAAGTCCCAGGTTCTTCATCATAGTTTATTAGTAAGTTATATATGCAGTATAATAATCACAGTAATTTTGTAGGATCATATATACAAATAGAGTCAGAAGGTGTCGTCAAATAATTTATAGATGCTGGGTGACAATATTGAATAACAATCCAGTTAAAAAATGACATGTGTTCAAACCTGATGATACCTTTTTAAAACTTAATCACAAGTCAACTTTTTCCTCGATTGCAACCCTGTCACATGGTAGGGACATCCCTACACAAGTTTTTCTGTCATTATAATGGCGTGACAAATAAAATCCCGTCCTACGTATATAACATAGTTATTAAGGTGTAGTAACCTCTAGCATTACCCTAATAAGAATAAGGACTAAGCTATGAATGGTTCGACATCGATATGATCCACAATATTGACTATTAAATTAATATAGTAAATCTACCTACCATATTTACTCAATCGATCGTCTGGTAAATATTGTACAAATTTAATTTCATACCATACAGCTGCTCCCATCGTTGAAGATATGGGAAGATGGAGGGAACCCAGTTGTGGTGCACATGATTAGCATCAGATGTTTTCTGATTGCTGGACTGGATCTTCTGCATCTCTGGAACGTTCCCGGCAATGAAGGAAGGTGGCGGCCCTCGGATGCCTTGCTTCCAAAGCACAGATCGAATCCTTGCAGGCTTCAGCCACATCTCCTTCATCAATCGAAACAAAACTCTCAAAACACCAATCAACAAAACTGACCAACATATCAAAGCCACCTGCAGACCCTCAGCCATCTCTCTCTCTCTCTCTCTCTCTCTCTCTCTGTGAGACAAGCTATCTTTCTATTACAAGGGCATCTTCACCTGCTGAGCTCTATATTAGAAAATTTATAGCTGCACTGCGACTGTGATTGATATGGCAGGCGGACAAAAGTACCCTTTTGAATAATAATAATTATCTATGCTGCCATTAAACTTAAAGTTATGGCCATTGCACTGAACTTTCAGCTAAACCTTAATTAATCATTAATAAGGAGAGGTTAACAGCTCATTGGTCGCTAATAATATTTAATGTAGTTGTCCAATCAATGTCTAATTTCTGGATAACCTTGGAAAAGGGTGAGTTTATTTAAGGTAATAGCATTTGATTGTATTTTAAATTTGATTATAAAAATATATTAATTCGTTTTTTATATATAAATAAGACAATCATTCATATAATCCAATGCTAGTCTCTAAATTTTTATTTATTTGTGGAATTTGGAAAGAAGAATATTGATACTATATAGCTCGCAATCTGGTGCATTACTTTTGTTTGATCTACGACCAAAAATTGATGGCCAAACTGTCGAGGAAAATAAAATTATGATAACATTATCATCATATACACTGAGACAGTTGAGGAGTCAAGTTTTTTTCCTTGTTAACTTAATATTCTGAGTTGTTATTCACTAATTATCGATCTAACGATACTTTTCTATTCAACCTTGAAAGATTTGTTATCTCTCATTTTCCCGTCATTGATGTTATTATTCTACGGTTATTGTGGTATCAAAACATATTCAATTGTATTTGAAGTGCAAACCAACACTAAAAATCAAAACTAGAACGTGCATATACGTTAAAAGCCTGACTAATTAATTAAAATCAGGCCGATGTGGGTGGTTGCTCAAACGAAGTTTTACAGTGGGCAATTGCAGCCTGAATTGAGGTCTCTCTTGCAAACACATACACTTTATTTCTCTCATCACTCGCAAACCCTTTGTGAATCGGCGACGACTTAATCGAACTCGGGCAGCTTCTCGTTCTTCTATCTTTTCGACCAATGCCGGTGCTCATGCTATTTCCTATGGCTTCCAAAACCCCTCTAACTGCGCCCAAGTTTATTTCCAAAACCCTCGAATATTTCTCCTCACCTTCTCCTTCTTCTGAACCCTTGCGCTTCCCTTGTTTCTTCTGCCCCATCCATTTGTCCAGAGAAGGCTTCAGAACACTCTTTTTTGATTTTGTCTTCTTCTTGCTTCGACCGCGATCATCGCAGGCAACTTGGCGGGGCTTCACAACTGAGGCTACCAGGGCTCCCAAATTCATGGCTCGAAACTTGAACAGCAACTTCATTATGCCACCGTTTATGGAGCTTCTCATGTTTGTTGCTTTCCTTGATTAATTGATGCAAACAGACATGCCACATGGTAATTAGTAAGCTTGATATCACTTGTCACATTATTATTATTATTTTAAGGTTTTATATTAGCGATGTTAAGGTAGGAGGGGTTCAAATACAAGACATCGAATACAAATTAACTGTTCTAGTTGCTCTTAAGAGAGTACCTACAAGTTTTTTGGCAATACAATATTCTAAATTATAATAAAACGAGAAAGGGTACTCTGACTCAAGTGCAAATGAGCAGACACGTTATACTTTTATACATTATTTGTCACATCATAATCTTCTTTCTTTAAAACAAAATAAAAAGTTGATCTACTTTTATGAGGATGTAATGAAGTATTATGAACAGTTAATTAATCAGTACATAATATAATGGGTTAAAACGTTTGGAAATATTTTTGCTCACCACTTTAATACAAGGTGTATTTTCACTATTTTTCTCAATACTTGATACGTGTCCATGAGTCTAATCATAGTTAATTTTTTGCTTTGTATTTATGGAACCATGATTAGACTCAAGAACACATATTAAGTGTTGAGAAGGGTGATGAATGTACATCTTAGGTTAAAGTGGTAAGTAAAAATGGTTTCAAAACGTTTTCCAAATAAAACAAATTAATGATTCCACACGTATTATAGTTTTGGATTCACTTGATAAATTTCAACAAAGGTTTCTAACCTCTAATATAAAATTATTAATTGTCTTGTTTCAGTATATACCTGCTACGTGCCACGTCAGCATTGTCCGCGTGGATAGGCAATTCCGACGATGACCGAAGACCAAAGAGCAACGTGTTGACTAGGCCGTTTACTGCAGGCAATCTCCCTCTTTTTGTAGCCGTGCTTCTTTGCAGCATGGAAGAGTCTTGATCAGATCCCTCTTTCCGAGCCCCACAACTACTGCTTTCTGTGGACCAAGAGCTCAAAGTGCACGACGCTGAAGATGGTGTCGTCTGGTTTAATGGTTGGTCGTTAGGAGGCTCAGAGATGTTTTGGTGGGTGTGGGTGGAGAGCTCCGGGAGAAGGCTAGATGAAAAAGATACACGCAAGTAATCTACATGGTCTAAGCCTCCAACACGATCATCGTCATCTCGATCACAACTTGGTTTAGGATGATCATGATGATCAAGGGCTATTTCGATGTATGATCCATCATCACTCGTGCCATCAGCATCATCGTCATCTTCGTCGTCATCGGTGAAATGAGAAAGAGAGGAGAAGTTCAAATCGGACTCGGAGCAGCTGAAGGAGAAGCTTCCTCCATGGCTCAGATCTCGCAGATCATTACAACTCATACTTTCCATGGCGTGTAGCAACTATAGGCTATACTTTTCAGCACGCACACGCTATATACGAATTAATAAAAAAAAACTATAAAATGGAAGAATAAGATCTGCAAAGAGATCTATGGAGATAGATATGCTATATGTTGCATGTGCATGGCGAAGCCAGATGGAAATTAATGAAGGGGAGGAGATTGGAAAGTCTCATGAAGTAAAAAGCTTTGGTCCAAGTAAGACACTAGCTAGCGCGGTCACAATTTATAACTAGGACATCAAGGTGGACCGTCCCATATTTCGATGTATGATCCATCATCACTCGTGCCATCAGCATCATCGTCATCTTCGTCGTCATCGGTGAAATGAGAAAGAGAGGAGAAGTTCAAATCGGACTCGGAGCAGCTGAAGGAGAAGCTTCCTCCATGGCTCAGATCTCGCAGATCATTACAACTCATACTTTCCATGGCGTGTAGCAACTATAGGCTATACTTTCAGCACGCACACGCTATATACGAATTAATAAAAAAAACTATAAAATGGAAGAATAAGATCTGCGAAGAGATCTATGGAGATAGATATGCTATATGTTGCATGTGCATGGCGAAGCCAGATGGAAATTAATGAAGGGGAGGAGATTGGAAAGTCTCATGAAGTAAAAAGCTTTGGTCCAAGTAAGACACTAGCTAGCGCGGTCACAATTTATAACTAGGACATCAAGGTGGACCGTCCCATTTTTTTTTTAATGTTTGAAAATTCAAATCCATGCACATATATTATATATACATACGTGGTCCAAAGTTGATTTGGGTTGCTTGTGAAGCGATCAGAATCTGACGAATCAAATCCCAGAACTCATGCAAGTTTTATCTCTAGCCCTTGAATTGCTCTTCAAGATTTTAATAACGTTGTTGTTTGTTAGTCAAATGAAGGACATAAGATGAAACCCATTGGCATATGATCATAAGCGTATAATCTTGGGTATCTAAAAGCTTATGCAATTTCCGCAATTTGAGCCAACCCCGTTCTTTGAGGCCATGGCCCCAAAGCGCCCCAAATTATTGTATGAATTTGTATTTTGCTTACATTTGTCGTCCTATATCAGGTGTATTTTGTAATGAATTTAACAATAATGATGAAAGGTGCTTTTCAACTACAAATTTGTAATTAGTCACCTAATCTAATTAATAATCAAGTTAATCAACCCCTTGATTTTAAGATTTTATGAGCCATCCCATATATATGTTGAGAACAAATTCCAGAGTCTGCCAATTGGCCTGTAATCTTCATCAATCCGATTTATTATTACATTCCTTAAAGTTAGGGTTTATGATTGTAGACATGGGCTTAATCAAGTTGGCTAGAGTTAGTTGATGTGCTATTCACTTTGCACCCGGATTTGAATCCTCTTTCCGTAGTTTAGATTGATTTTTAAAGTAAATTATCGCTTGTATAAAAAATAATAATAATAAGGGACCAGAGACATTCCATTGCAGTGAGCAAAAATTCAGGAAAAATAACGAGATCGCTGGCGTCAGCAAGATGTTTGACAAGTCACAAAAGTAACAAAGGGAATTACCGATCGAAATCAATCGTAGTCAAGAGTCAAGACTGGTGGGGGCGTCTAAGAAAGACAAAAGAGGCAAGCCAGCGGATTTGAAATATTCAATTTTTTAGTGATCAGACGACTTTTCATCTCATTTGGAAGTTTCCTTTCCATTCATATAAAAAGCAAAATGAATTATTAAAGTGCCAAGCCAACTAATCTTTTTGACTTGTTTTTTAATTGCTCAACCAGAGGCCATACAAATATATATATATATATATAATCATTTTGAAAAATAAATAATAATTTTATTTGTTCTCAAATAAAATTCAAAAACTCATCGGTGATTCCAATTAGTTAATTATAATCGACTTAGCTTTCACTTAATTTGAGATTAATTAATCAAACGCCCGCGTTTTATGATATGAAAAACTGACTTAGAAATAATTTGCATACCCAAGATTTGTTTATCCATTTGCTTAATGAGAGACACCATAAAAAGCACAGCCAAAGCTTTATCATTATCAATCAAAGGCAATGATTACAATATGATCTAGACATGATCGAGCCACGTAAGTACGTAGGGTCCATAATTAAGCATGCATGCATGTGCAGATATATACCGTCGGTGGGTCGAATCACATTTGATCATGAGTTTACGAGGAGGGAACAAGAACAGTGGTGCGCATCATGTGCTTGAACTCGAACAAGTCAACGAGGCCATCGTGGTTGCGGTCAACGGAGGTGATCATCTGCTGAACTCTATCAATCTCATTGCCTTCCTGGAACCCTAGCTTGGCAAGCACCACCTGCAACTCCTTAGCCGATATGAACCCATCTCCGTCCTCATCAAACACCTTGAACGCCTCCGAAAGATCCAACTCCTCCTGCGACATCTTCCCCTTTCCTTCGCATTCTGCGGAAGAAGCAACGACAGACTCTTCGTCGTCGTAGGCGAAGTAGGTGTCGGAGAGGGACTGGTGGAGGGAGAGGAAGTCGTCGAAGCTGAGGCCGTCATTGGAGGGTTGGATGAAGGATTTGACCGTGGAATGGAGGTCGGAGATTTCGACATCAAGGCCGAGGAGAGCGAGGGCTTGGCCGATCTCGTGGACGCTGATGAACCCGTCTTGGTTTTTGTCGAACACGTCGAAGATGCGGCGGAGGCGGAGGGAATTTAGGCTCGCGCACCGAAGCCGAAACGACGACTTCGATGACGGCCTCTTGCTAAGGGAGGCACCAGTCGGCCGTGAAGCCGAAGACGCGGCTGCTAATTCCATGATGATAATTAATTCAGTTAATGAATGATTTATTTATGTATAAATCAGTGGGGGATGAAGAAGAGGATGGAGAGAAGAAAACAAGAGGTGATTTGTTTTGGTCTGCTCTGCTTTCGGTGGGGATGAACGTATATGGGTGTTGTTATAACAAGGGAAGGTGCGCGTTTGGTGGGCGTTGAAAGTCTTTTGTTATTAATTTCCTGTTAATTTGTTAATCTGTTTGTTTAAATTAGTTTTAAAAAATGAGTTTGCATTTGCCCGTTGTTTGCATTTCCAACTGCGTAACTATTACTCCAACTACAAGTCAGTCGTCGTTGACCCAACAAAAACAAAATCATTATAAATCTATATATATAAAGTAAAAGGCGGAGAATGGTGAAACATTCAAAATATTAAAAAATGTCATTGGTTAATTCAAACATTAAGTGCCCGTTTGACATTGCTTATTTGGGGTGATAAGTGATTTTTAAATTTTTTTGGCAAACTATGAGAAAATCACTTATTATTAAAAATTGTTGTATGAGAAAGTTATAAGAGAACGCAGCTAATGAAGTGCTTTCGTTTTATGATTATACAGGAATCTATTTCGACAAAGCGCTGAGTTTAATGATTATGCGAGAATCATTTTCTGATTATGCGGAAATCAGTACCAAAAACATTTTTAACAAAAAGTTTACCAAACGCCAAATTACTTTATCTCACAACTGATTTCTCTTACAGCAAATCTGACAGTGATTATTTTCACAACACAGCAATGCCAAACTGATCATAACAATTGAAATTATTAATTACATGAGGATAATATGGTAAATTCACTTTTTTCATATTTAAAAAAATAATTAGATAATATGTCTTACTTTTATAAAACATACATAATTACCCATGCTATCTTTTTTTAATTCTAAAAATAAAATTAAAAAAATAAAAGAAAACCAATTAACATGTGCCAGGGGCTAGTAAATAATAATAAAAAAGAGTCGGTGGTTTTACAATTCTAAATCCAAAAAAGAAAATTGAATTTATGGGCCATATCGTATGTGGACAAAGAAAAAGCTGCTTTATGAAACGTATGGTCTGAGTTCCGCGTGTTGGCCCAAATTGGGACATGTACCCGTACCCATGCCTACACCTCATCCGCTCTGCCATTCGTTTCAGTTCAGGCGGTGCATCGTCGACTTACTGGCATTGACCTGGCATTGACGGACCTACAGAGACGTAAGAAGGTGTAGTTGAATTAATAATTTTTTAATTACAAAATAAATAATTAAACTACGTTTTTTTAATCTCCCATATTTTTCATGTGTATGCTGGGGGTTAACATAATGCCGCTAGCTTAGCTAGTTAGTTAACCCTAATATTACATACGAATTATAAATTAATATCCCTCGGGCAATACTGTTTACATACGTATTGGATAGATATGTGTGGATTTGTCATTTATTTATTGGTGTAGAAACGGTTAATGTTTTTCTTCCTTAATTAAATAAAATGTCTTAAGTGATTTGTCAATGAGGTGTGACAGTCCTATAAAAAAATTTCTTGAAGATAAACGAACATGTGCCATATTAGGTTTCCAAATATGTCTTATCTTCAATTGGTAACATAACAATTGAGCAATAAACCTCCGGGAGCATTTTTGCTCATCACTTTAACTCAATGTGTATGCTCACTATCCTTCTCAACACTTAATACGTGTCCATAAGCATAACAATGGTTACATAAATCAAAGTAAAAAGTTAACCATGATTATATCTGTAAACACGTGTCATGTATTAAGAAAATTGGTGAGAACACACCTTGAGAAAAAAAGCTAAATTAAGGAAAGATTGCTCCCATATGGTAAGGTTTAATTTTCTTTCCTTATTAATATTTCTAAAAATTCCCACATTACCATTTGTGTATTTAGTCCCTCTAAAACTTATTTCGCGCCATATTTTTTCCCTCCAAAACATAGTTCCCTCCATATTTTTGCCTCCAAAAAAAAATATTTTCCTTATTTATTTCCCTCCAATAATTATTTCCATTTATATTAATTTTCTTACCAAAACAGGGTAATTATAGATGAAGTACACAATTTTTTTTTTTATGAGAATGAAGTGCATTATATACGACGATGATGCATAAAACAACTCTAATAATGTTGAAAATCCAATTCTATCTACACCAAACTTGAACAAAGAAAAATTAATGTGGATATAAAAAATTAAATAAAAAGGGAATTGATGGAAGTAGGGAGTGTAATTAGTTTTTTTAATGCATTTTTAGGAGTTTAATGTTTATTAAATTATTATTAGAATTTTGGGAGGAATATTAAACGAGTGAGTTGCGCAAGCAAACCGCCAAAAAGCAAAAAAAGGAGGTGAGTTGCGGGGAAAGTGGGTCCAGAAATCCGCATGAGGAGCACTCAGATCTATTAAACTGGAGCCAAACTCGAAAGCAAAGACAGCGACTGAGTAAGTTTATTTACAAACACTATTTTGCAGCTTTACAAAGTAACCTCTCTCTCTCTCTCTCTCTAACCCCATTCACTTCCAACTCCTTCGGCTTGTGGCTGCTTCAACTGTTCTTCAACTCTGCTCTCACTCAGGTACTCAAAGTCTCCAGCTTTTCTCTGTCTCAAGCTCTTTCTGCTTTTTCTGTTATGGGTTCTTCTTTGTTTGCTCTCTGAGATCGATTTCCTAGATTATCTGTTCATTTCCGTTGTTTTAGGGTTTTGAGTTTCCTGAATCAGGATTCCCCTGCTCCCTTTTGCTGGGAGAATTAAAATCCTTAACTTTTATGATGAGTTTAATTCAAAGTTCGAATCTTTTGTTGTCATTTAGTTAGTTATTGTTATATCTCATCTGCAGGGCATCTCGGTTATCTATTTAGATTTGCTTCTGTATTACTTGTCTTGTTTTCTATTTTCCTTTCCACCCCAAGCCCTTTTTTTGTCTCTTTCGATTTCTGTTATTTTTCAACCAAATTTTCATGCGGGTTCAACTATTTCACATGGGTTTTATCTGAATTTGATTTCTGTTTTCAGTATCTACTTAAAATAATGATTTTCTGCCAAATTCTACTTTTACTGATCAAGTTCCCATCTTCAGCTGCTACCCTCTCCCTGTATTTCAATTATGATTACAACTAGATGAGATAATGCTTTTTCTGCCAAATTACTCTTTTACTAATCAAGCTCTTCTTCAGCTGTTACCCTCACCATGGGTTCTGGAGATTGTATCAATGAACTAGATCAATGCAAACTACCATCTCAGAAATCTTTGGAAAAATTGGATAGAGCTAAAGCTTTGGGGCTTCATAAGGATGCTGCTGAGACACCAGTGAAATTGATGGCAAATGGGATGGCTTCTCTGGGGCCTATTACTCCTAAAGCAGACAGAGAGAATGGGGATTTCACCATTGACTTCATATCTCCGCCCTCATTTTTAAAGAAACCGTCAATGGTGACCTGCCTCAGTTCCAACACCAACAGAAATGGGGATGACCCATTTGGTTATTGTGCTGATGGTATCAGCCCCAGGACACCAGTGGATGGTGTCTTCGACCCCTTTGCCCCCGGTCGGGATGACCTGGCATTGGCACCCCGTTGTAAAAAATTTGTCAGTAAGTACAGAAGTGTGGTTGCTCGTCAGCTTAATTTTGATTCTCCTGTCCAAAGTTCAGAAGATGAGATTTGGACTGATGTAGAATCTATTTCGGACGAGGAAATGTTTGAAGCGGTGTATGAAAATCTATTGGAAGTTATTGTATCCGAGCAAACTGAGGGAGTTTTTTCTGAATGTTCAAGGAAAGGTTGGGATTCTGATGACTGCAAAACACCTCCCCCGGAACCGCTTCTAAATGGAGAAGCTGAATCTTGTCCTGGTGCTCCCTTGAGGCCCTCAGGGAAATCAAGGAACATTGACTTGGGGTTAATCAGAAAGCTTGAATTCTAACACCAGCTGACTCATGCGGTTATATGCAGTGAATTTGCTAGAATTCTGGTACTTCTTTCCAACAGCTGATAATTTGCTAATTATCATTTCTGCCCCTCTTAGAGAATATGTTTCATAGGGATCAACTCAGTCTCTCTGTCTCTCTCTGTCTGACCTAGATTATACAGTAGTGCTAGCATTGTACAGTAGTTGTTGACCTTATTTATATGTTCAACCACAGGAAAAGACATCATTTTGATTTTAGCATTGGCTAGTACTCTATTTTTACTCAGAATGTAAGACAAAGGGAGAAATAAAATAGAAACTTCTTCCTACTTCATCAATCATGTGCTGAACATATTCGTGTTTAATAGCTGTCTTATCAAATTTTGTATGCCTGAATCTCTGAGCTTTATGATTCGGAGCTATAATTTGATGACTGGAATGATTGCCTATGTGTATATTGCTTAACTTTGAATCTTGTTGGATGATAAGAATTGGGAAAATAATTGAATGAAGCTATTCCTCAGTTTTTTTGGTAACTTTGGTTTATAGGAAATCTGAAACAGGGAGTTCTTTGTTTCCCATCAAGGATGCTAGCCATATGTTGAGCAGCACCAAGCGTGCTATAAACAAGGCTACTCTGTTTATGTTCCTTGGTTTTGTTTAACCCTTTATCTCTAGTTCTTGTATTTTCTCCACAAGAATGAAATTGTCGCTGCCGGTATTGATGTACTTGGATAAGCTAATGTGTAATCTGATGTCTTGTGCCCGATTGGAAGGACAAAGACATTGTTTTCACATGAATCTTGAGTATCTCCCTGTTGGAGAATGAAGTTCTTTGAAATGAAATAGATGTCACTGTGTGTTTTCTGCTTTCATTCTTAGGAAAAGTTGTAGATTTTATTCAGCATTGGTAGACTCTGTGATTTGTTTGTTTGGATGTTATAATGTAACAGGGTTCAGAAGCTGTTTGCTTTTGTTCCCCTTCCCTTTCTGTTTTAAAAGTTAAAACAGCATGCTCTCAGCACAGGCTTCTCAGGTTGTGAGCAAAAGTTCACGGGCTGTTTTGATGATGTTGGGTTTGGTAGGTAGGCTTAGAAAGCTCTGTCAGCGATTGGCATGTGCAGAAACGAGTTAGGCACGTGAAGTCACCCACGTTGGCGTATCAATATAAACTATAAAATATATGAACAAGGATCTCTGATTTTGGACGTCATA